TCATCTTTGTCCTGGCCGCCGCCTAATTCGCGCATCCTTATTCAGATTTGGTGACGTGGCGCGGCACGTAGGGGGCCCGGCGGCCAATGGGCGCGCGGTGGCCATGGCAACCTCTTAAATTTATAGCATATCTAAATTGGCTACAGCGTTGCGGTCCGGACAGAGCAAAAAAAACAAGGCATCAGTATTGTTGAGTATTAGCTTGTACCTGGTTCGGAGCCTAAGTAAGTATTTACCTTTCAGTTTGGGGCTGGGGGCTGGGGGCCGCGCGATCTGAAAACTGGGTCTCTCTTCTCTCTCCTCACAAATATTTGGGGGCTAGGGTTCCAAGGCTTAGTGGGGGAGGGACCTCTGCCCCTTCGCCATCCCCAGAACTTGCAGAAGTTGCCCGAGGCCGGGATCGCGCTCTACCTCTGCCCCCTCTTCCCTAGCCCAGCCCGCCGTTTTGGACTCCGCGATCCGTGCGCCCCTGGGGTCTGCGCCCTGGAGCTGCGACAGAGAGGTTCTCGGACTCCCGGAGCCGGCCCCAGCTTCTTTTGTCATTCACGGGGCTGGGGCCCAGCCGGGCCTTTCTCATGGAGAGAGAAAGAGAGAGAGAGACCGAGCTGCTTGAGTGTCTTGGGTGTCTTTCCCCGTGCAGGGCCAGGTCCAGGTTGTGGGGGCGGGTGTCCTCTGGCCAGAGCATGCTGGCTGCCGGCCTCTGGGGAGATGTGGGGAGGGGGAGGTCCAGGGTGCACCGGTCTTCCCGAAGCCAGCCCAGAAGTGACGTTCACCACCACGTCTCTCCTTTCCTCGCTGAACCTTCCAGATCTCAGATCAGCCAGTCCGGGCGCCGTGGTGAGTGGGTAGCTTGGCCAAGGCGGGGACGCTCGAGATTGCGTGGGTCCCCTTTGCACATGCAGGGCGTCTGGGCTGGGTGTGCACGTTCTATCCTTCAAAGGAGGCAGGAGACACGAGGGTGAGGGGGCTGTTGGCAGGTGTCTGTGGAGGGGAAGTGTGACTCTGGTGGGGGGAGGGGGAGGGCCAGGCATCCTTTCCCCCCAGCCACTAATGGGGTGCTCTAAGTTAGAGAGGCCAGCCAGGCAAGTTGGGGATTTTTCCTTCCAGCTCCAGGAAAGAGGTCTGATGGGGTCTGTAGGGCCTGGGCCCAAGGGCTTGGAGCCAGAGGAGTGTGTATTTGTGCCAAGAACTGGCTGTGGATGTGTGTTTGTGTGCACTTGCTGTGTTTATTAGTGTATATTTGCTGCTGGAGAATCATGTTTTTGCCTGTTTATAGGTACTCAGGAGTCAATCATGCGAATACCCTTTGACGTGTGTACTTTTTGCGTGCACATTTGTGTGCTTCTATCTGTGTATAGTTCTAATGTTTGTGTGTGTTAGTCTGCGTGCCCCTGTTTTTGTTGTTTGTTGTATATATGTGTATGCTTACTTGCGGCCACATGAATGTGAGGGTGTTTGCCTGTGTGAGTGTGCATCTGTGTAAGTGTGCATTTGTGTATGTGTGGGCCAATGCTGATGTGCAAGTGGACTTGGAAAAATCTGAATTGTATGTTTGTGTGCAGGTGAGTGTGCGTGCATGGGACTGAGCTGGGTTGGGTGTGTTTGTGAGTGTGGAATTTTGTGGATCTGTGTTTGTGGGCTAGTTACTCCGTGTGTGTGTCTGTGTGTGTGTGTTTCTGAGGACAGTGGTATTTTTGTTTTTACGTGACTCCTGTAGTTTTTTTGGGGGGAGGGGTATGTTGTGTGTACTCTTGGCAGTGCTGGCCTTTTGTGGATTTTAAGGGGGGCAGGGTTTGTGGACGCCTGTACTGGGGCAGTTGGTGGAGGCACAGAGATGCTCACTTTCCCCCTGGTTCCTGTCCAGACTTTGGGCTTTCCCCCACAGTCCACAGTCTCTACAGGAGGTGATCTGGGACAGGGAATTGACAGGTGCTGGTCACTGGGTGGGGCATTGACTTACAAGCTGGGCTTCTGAAGAGGAGCCCCCAAACTGGGCAGATTCTGCCGTTACTCCATCCTCCAGCTTGCCGAGCAAGGGACAGCTGTCTACACGGCATAGCGATGTGGCTGGTGGCTGGTTGGAGCGGGGCCGGGCCAGGAACTAGCAGGATGGATCTTGCCTCCTCGTCTCCCAGGCCTGGCTAGGAGAACTCCAGGAGCCCCAAATGAGCACAGTGCCTGGCCCTGCCCTCCTGGGGGCGTAGTGTGAAGGGTCCTTGAGCTGGCAGGGCAGGGACAGAGAAACAAGAACCCGAGAGGAGACAGGCGCCCAGGCTCCAAGTGAAGGCGAGTTACGTTGCCTACTTGGTCTTTGTCTCGCTGGGGTTTCTCTCGCCTGAGTTCTCTTCACATCTTTTCCTTTCTGTCTCTGTTTCTTCCTTATGTTCAGCCTCTGTTCTTTTTCTGTTTTCCTTTCCCTCTGTTCCCCCATCACCTTCTTTCTCAGTTTCTCTCTCTGTGTTTTTATTTCCTTGCCTCTGCCTCTCTGCTGGACATCCACATCCAGCAGCGGGCTCGAATCTGTGATGAAGGATTCTCATTGTGCAGCGTGTGGATTTGGGGAGTGAGGTGTGGGGAACTCCCACACAGTCATTAAAAGCCCCCATCTAGACGATAGCCTTCTGCCCTGCACTGTTCCCACTAACCCCAACTGGGTACCTGAAATACTGGGTCTGCTGTGTTTTTCCAGTCCCGGCTCTGCTCACCCTGCCGGCTGCTAGGTGCCTGTGTGTCAGGTTCCGCCTAGGACAGATCCACCTGTCCTAACCTCTTGGATGTGCTTAAATGCTGATGTACAGCCAGGCCCCACCAGCTGTGATGCTAGGCCAGGGAGACAGGAGAAATGCAGGCAGTCTCAGAGAGCAGCCCTGGGTCTCCCAGAGCCTGGATGTGGTGAGCCACCTGGGGCTGAATGCCCGGTGGCGGGAGAGGAAGGTTTCACTTCCAGAAGCCCACGTCTGGCCTTCTGCCTCCTGGAGCTGAGTCTACCCATCCTGTCCAGGTCACAGCCCCTTGGAATCAGCACAGCCCAACCTCAGTCCAGAACCCCCTCACCCCAGCCCAGCTGCAGGGCATCCCGTTTCGCCTTTGCCAGTCCACCTTCCAGGGCGCACAGCCTCCAAAAAACACCAGCAGACCAACTATTAGACGAATTTCCTCATCCTAACAGCGCTAACAGATGGCGACCAGGCAGCGAAATCCCCTCCTATATGTAACTAATAAACCGCTTGTGTCTTAACAGGGTAATGCATGGAGACGCAATGTCACTTATACAAGATGTTGATGGAATTTACTATATAAAAATCTTCCTCCTAGAGTAAAGAGTATCAACATTACAACTCGACAGACGGCGGCAGGATAAGTAAAACTGACAAAAGACAAACAAGATAATAATCTGTTTCCAATCACTTAAGCCCTGTAGAGTTAGTAATATGCAGTTTTTATATTCCCCCTTGAGTTCGGTAATTAATTACCAGCGAGGAGGCACACACCCGCCTGGGGTGGGAGTTTCGAGGAGCGCTGAGCTGGGGTTTGGGAGGCACGTTTCCCGACTTCCCCAGCCCAGGACATGGGGCAGCGGCCGGACTGGGGACTCCTCCCGGCGTTTGGAGCTGACCTTCCCGCAGGCTGTAGAGCACCTCACCGGAAACCCTCCTGCATGGGGAGATTCTGCAGCCAAGCAGAAACGGGGGCTTTTCTGGCAACCAGGGTATCTCCCTTCGCCCCTCTGAAGGCACCCCCTCCCTTTGAATGGACAAGAGTGGCCTGCTTTCCTGGGGAACGCGCGCATTGGGGGGACCCCGGAGGCGCGCCCCTTGTCCTCTCCTTCCTGTGGTCTCTTGGGCGGCTCAGCCGGTTGTCTCCCGATTTCCATCATTACCGCCCCCCACTCAACACGCACACTGCTCATCCCCCCCTACCCCGCCCCCCTAGCCAGCGCGGCTTTAACATTAAACAAACGCAGCGAGCGCCTCAGAGCTGCGCTCTCGGCCGGGTCTGCGCGGCGGCGGCGTTACAAATTGTAAATTTAAATTGCTCGCCGGATTCATTACCTCCCCTCTTTGATTTCAGCCAGCCGTGAAAAATTATACTGGTGTACCACTGAGAAACTGTTTTGCCGCAAAGAGCCCGCGCCTAATCACTGGCTTTCTCCCTCCGACAAAAGTGTAATTATTTTGTTTGGGGTGTAAATATAGGCCGCGCTGCGCACACACACTCAGCGTCCCGCCGCGCCTCCGCGCACTGCCCGCCGCCGCAAGGAATCGGCGGCCCCTGAGTAGGAGCGGGCGTGGAGGCTGGGCCCCGCTACTCGAAGGCCGCAGAAGAGCAACTGGTTTGGCCCTCTGGCGCACCCAGAGAGCCGAGCCGGCGTGTCCAGTCCCCAGTCACTGCCCTCAGGAGCTCCGGGTTGCCCGATCATCCCCGGAACGTGTGCGCCCAGGCTGGCCCGGGTGGACGTCCTCCGGGTGCCATGCGTGGATCAGGGCGCAGGCTCAGGCCTAGGCATCCGGGCAGGGATGCAGAAGGGATGGTGAAGGTATGGGAGTGGGGTCAGAGTGCATGGGCGCTCTGGGATCCCCGCGGGTGCGGCCTGCTGGGGGCAGACCCGAGTCCAGGCAGGGAGAGTGTGCGGGCCTGGGTGCCCTCGAGGGGGCAGGGCATAGGCTGAACCCTAGAAGGCAGGGGCGGCAAGGCCGATGTGCCCCCTCTAGTTCTGCGGTGGACTGCTTGGTTTCCAGAACATCTCTGCGGGGCGCAGGGCCTTCCTGTCAGTTGAATTGCGCATGGCTTAATTAACGGTCTCGTTAACTGGGCAGGCCCGACCTGGAACGTTTAATCAAAAAGGCAGGGAATCCCTCCCCTCCCCTCCCTTCCTTCCTTCCTTTTTCTTCTTTCCTTCATTTATTTATTCATTCATCAACAATGGCAAAGCTTCCTCCCTCCCCAAGCCACCCCTCCTAGCGCTGGGGATTCCGGCTGTTGAGTCCCCAGGCCGGGGAGAGACTTTAAGGGGCGTGAGAAGTGGCAGAAGTTGGGCAATGCTGTCGCGTGGGGTGGCTTTGGGACAGGCACTGGGGCCAAAAAGCTGCGGTCAGCTTTATGGGGCAGCCTGGTGGAAATCTACTGAAGAGCCCCACTAGCCGCTTCTGGGAGGGAGCAGGTGGAAGGGCAGTGGCTGATCCTGCATGGCAGTTTGGAGAGATCCAGCCCCAAAGTGACTGTGTGCATGTGTGAGAGCTGGCCAGCTTAGAGACCTGGCTGGTTGGGGCCAGGGTAGAGTGGGGCATGGTGTCCCCGGTCTCCTTCCTGCAAGCCCCTCTCCCGGACTGCATCGCTCAGAGGCCCCTGTTCCTCAGGCTGCCCTGCCAGCTCATGCAGGCTACAGCTCCCTCTCCAGCCCTGCAACTCAGTGCCCAATTTTAGGCATGAGTCACTGGGAGGGTGCAGACTGGGGCTGATCCCTGGGGGCCAGAGAGGAGCCTGGAGAGGACAGAAAGAAAGGTGCAAGCCTGTCTTCCAACTTCCGAGGGAAATGCTGACCTTTTGTTCAGAGAGGGAAAAACCCCATACTTCCTGCAGAGCTGTCCCCTCAACTGCCCCGTGAAGCGCAGATCCCAGGTGGCCAGACAAGCCAAGGGAGGATTTGAGCTGAGAACCTCAGGCACCTGCCTCATTCTTGCCCCGGGGGATCTAGCCTGTGGGCGGGCCCTGGACCTTGGAGCAGACAGCGCTGGGGCTCACAGTGCTGTGGTCCATGCCCCTCTGGCCTGATTGAGGTATCCGACGGTGGAGGCCTTCCGCAGGTCTCCGGGAGCTGTTTCTAAGAAGATGCTTGCAACCCCGCTCCATTTTTGGAGCCCAAATGGGGAGAGCTAACCTCCAGATTAAGGATTCGCAGACTTTGTACTTTTCCTCTTTTGCATTAGCTAGTCTGCGTTTGAATCAGTATCTTGCGTCCCCTTTCTTTTATCTTGGTCTTTTTCACGGTCTCTATAGCATCTCTCTCTCTCTCTCCTCCTCTCTCTCTCTCTCTCCTTCTCTCTCTCTCTCCCCCCTCCCTCCCTCTCCCTCTCTATTCCTTCTCCTCCCCTCATTCTCTTCCACCTCCTCTCCCCGCCCTCCGTATCCCACCTCCTTTTTGTTAGCCTAATATGTGTTCCTTTAGAATTCGCCGGATTTTGGCAGCCTGCTCGCTGTGTTTGTGTGTGTGTGTGTGTGTGTGCGCGCGCGCGCGTGCGCGCGAGCCCGCGCGTGCGTGTGTGTATTTCTCGGCTGCTAATGATTGTGTGTTGATAGAGTAATGCAGTGGCCTCATTAGCCTTTGTTTAGAAGGTGTTAAAAGGGAAATCTGCATCGGAAAGCGGCGGTTTACACCGCAGCCTGACTGAACAACGCGCCGGAGCCGGCTGGGGGGTGGGGGCGCCGCCCACCGCCGCGGACCCTGGGGGGGGGAGGGGCCCAGGGAAGGCGACCCCCAGCACTTTCCTCCTAAGGCGAGTATGTTTACCCCGCTGCGCGGCCCTCTGTTCCGCGGGAACCACAGCAGGGAGATCGTTCTTTCTTTAAAACTCCTTTGAGCTGCCCAACTGTGCGCGGTGGCCTTTCTCCTCCAGGTTTCTTGTGGGAAGAGGTGGGGAAGGGCAAAGTTCTGTTTCGGAAAAAAAGAATTCCAGGTTTTTTTTTTTTTTTGAGGTAGGTGGTGAGGGGTCTTACTTTGGAGGCGAATACCAGTCAGTTCGCGGTGACTTGTCTGGGCTCGGGGCCTTTGGCTGGCTGGTTGGTTGGTGGCGATAGCCCTGCGCCTCGGACGCAGGGGTGGGCGCCCTAAGCTTTAGGAGTTCTGCAAGAGTCCTCTTTCTTTCCTCCCAACAAATTCGCAGCCGGCTCTTCCTTGCTTGGGAGATTTATTCTTAAACTTCTGTCTACCTCTAGCCTAGGGCTCTACTTGGGGAGCGAATTCTGTGAGAAGAAATCGTAGCTTGGCTGGTCGGCTTCTCTGAAGCTTGGCGGGAGCGCATGACTTTATTGACCCTGGGCTAGTGTGTGTGTGTGTGTGTGTGTGTGTGTGTGTGTGTTTATGCATGTGGATGTAAGATTTGGAGAATGAGCCTCACGCGGGGCAATTCCCACTCCTTGGGGAAGCAAGGTTTTAGGCGGAAGAGAACGTGAGGAGACATTCTTTTTACCCTGGATCCTACAAAAGGGTCCAGAAAAAGAATTTTTTTTTTTTTTGAGCAGCCTCTATCCGTGAAGCTTGTCGAACTGGGGGAAAGATGCCCTTCCTGGCAAAAAGGGAGAAAAAAACGACGCGGAATCCGAGCGGCAGAATGTGTAGTCTCTCTCCGATCATAACATAATTCATTGCTTTTTGCTGGGTTTTGGTTGCATCAGAAGAAACACTTTCTTATCTTTCTGGCTTCCCTCTCTGAGTTTCGGGTTTCCTCGTCTGGATCTGATGCTGCGGGTTTTGGGGAGAAGCTTAGCTGGTCTGCGTGTCCTTGCTTGTCCACAGCCCTGGTACGTGCCGGCAAAGCGTTTGACACTCCCCCACCCCCTCGCCTTTTTCCCCCCACTTTGGTCGAAGGCTAGGCTAGGCGTTATCTGGGGACAGATAGTGGGCGGCTAGGGCCTGGGGCACTGACAGCAAAACGAATTCCAAACCTAATCGGAACTCACCACGGCCATTTCCCCGGCCCCCAACGCCAGGTAGACAGAAGCGAGGTTCTGCGTGAAATCAGGTTAAAATTGTCCGCCGTGATGCAGTGGGATGGGATTGGGACCGAGTTCGGACGACGCGGGGAGAGGACAGCAAAGCCTCTGCCTGCCCGCTCTCGTCTGTCTCTCTTTCTTCCCGAAGCAGGTTTGGTGGAGAAGGCAGCGGGCGCGCCCCCGGGTCGCTGCCTGGCTACGCGTGGGCGCCGGAGTTTGGACCAAGACAAAGACAGGAGCTGTCCGCGGTGCTGAACCTGCCGCGCCGCCTCGGGGCCAGATGGGCTCCTCCAACCTGACCTCTCCTTAGCGTCCTGATTCTCTCTCCTTTCCCGTGATTCTTTCCCTCTCCTGCGTTTATTTCCTCCTTTTGTCTTTCCTTACAACTCACGTCCTGTTACGCAGGTATATACATCAAAGAACAAAACAATTGATTTAAAACGGTGTCTTCTCCTTTCTTCCCAAATAAATGATGCAAGAAATGTTTATTTTAAATGTACTCTAAAGCAGATACAAACAGCTATTCCTACCCCCAAATAAGTGGAAATTCATGCTTGAAACAATAGAACTAAGCAATAACAAATGCCGTAAATTGTCTTTTGATTTATTCTGAAGAAGAGAAAAGGGACTTAGAATTTTTAATTTCAGGAGTATCGTATCATTGGCATCTTAACTTCTTGGGTAGGAAAGTATAAGAGGGGGAGGGTTGGTGGCCAAATATGAGGGTGAACAGGCTAAGTGCTTGCTTATGAGTCAATAGATGGCTTATGAGGGTGAAAGCAATGGACATTAAGTTGCCTTAACCCTTTGAGGAAGAGATGAGATTTGCAAGGATAATAACCTTCTGGATTATTAACAGAGAAATGACTCCTTTTGAAAGTCTGGGTACAAAAGGGTTAATCTGGTGCTTTATTTTCTTAATGTGCGTGGTGTCATCTAGATGTCTGGCATAGCGTACAACCAAGCATTGATTCCCCTGCTCAAATCTATATGCAACACTTGTCTAAAGAAGTTTGTGCAGGGGAGAAAAAAAATCACATATGCTCTCTCAGGGTGGGAGGCGCACCCATGTTAGTGTGCACAAATCTGTACACAATCCCTCTGGCATCTCATAGATACACTGCTTCCCAGAGAGTCCCGATGCCCTGGGGCCACCTCTTTATTTGGTCTTCTCAGCACCCTCCAACCCTCCCCACCACAGGAGTGTCAGCTAAGCCCAGTTGTTAGCATTATCAATACATATGGAGAGTGGTCCCTGTGAATTCAAAGGAATAGATTCGCTCTGGCTCCCCACCTGGACATTCTAGAGCTAATTCGCCCATAAAGACAGAGGAACTAGAATTCTCAGAGCAGAGTAATTTGTAATAAGGGATTGTATTTTGGGGTTGGGGTAATAACATCCCAGTTCTTCTAGACACTGACTGTTATCTTCTCTCCAAAACAGTCTGAAATCTTTCCTTAAAGCCAAAGAGCCATCCTTTTGGATAATATACATTTTAACCTCTCAGAATGCAGAACCTCATTGTGCAAGGAGAGAAACCCTGACCTTGGGTGGGTGAAGGGGAAATGAAAAAAAAAAGCCTTTATTGGATGACTATTATGTACATTTGATTTCTTGATCTTCACTACAACTTTAACATGGCTTCATTTTGCAGATGAGGAAATTGAAGCTCAGAGATGTTCATTAAGTTGCTTACGGTTACACAGTGA